CTGATCAGCTCAGCTCAGCTCATGTGCTGTATTCAGTGTTGAACACTAATAATGCGAGTCTGACAGGACATTATCAGCACACTACTGACAGCAGCAGCAGAGAGTTCAGCTCAGATCTGCAGAACACAATAAAGAGTCTGAAACTGAACTTCAGACCTGCAGACCAACACATATCAGTGATCCAGCATCTACATTAATCCTGTGATGTGTGTTCATTAGAGTATAGAGCTCAGCGTTGTGCTGGAGTGCAGTGAGTGCTCTATTCTGTGCTGTGTTTACATCTCTGTCCTGTTTCATCTGCTGCAAACAGCCAAACTGCTCATCACTGCACATCTCGTCATGTTAGGACACCAGTTACAGTGTGACCCGCTCACTAGGGCTGCTACAGCGAATCGATTAAATCGATAAAAATCAATTACTTTTAAAAAAAAATCAGAATATGCAAAAATCATACAAATACAAGAAAACATCAACAAATAGCAAAAACAAAGCAACAAAACAAAAACAATATAGTCAGGTACTGGTATGTGCATGAGTGTACGTGTGTGTGTGTGTGTGTGTATGCATGTAAAGGTAACTTGGTGGACAGGTCAGAGTACATACATAAAAAAAAAAAAAATCGATAAAAATCGATTACTAAAAGCGTTGGCAAAGAATTTCATTATCGATTCGTTGTGTCACGCAACACAGAGACGTTTGATTAAAAAAAGAACAGTTTAGCTCAGCGCGGAGCAGAGTAAACACGGCCCCTCTCCGTCTCTCGCACACTGATACAGAGTTCAGCGCCTCAAGAAGACGGGGATGATGCGGAATAATCACTACAGAATCCTACTCTTGTTCCGTTTTGAAATGAGAACCGTAAAGAACCTGGTGCTGGTGTTCATGTCTGGCGCTGAGGGGTTCAGTTGGTTTTGTTTTCGGTATTCCTGACACATTCAGTGATGGACGGCATTAACTAAAAAACTCTTACCCTAAAAAGATGTAACAACGGGGAGTAACACCAACAACTGAGGCTTGGATCCAATATGCAGGTTTATTCAAAGTCAGGCAAGCAGTGGTCAATACGGGTGCAAACAGGTGTGTGAGGACAATCCAGAATCATAGTAGAACAACAGGCAAGGAGGTCAGAAGGCAGGCGGCAGACTAAGACAAAGAGGCTAACAAGGCTAATGGTCGGTACACAAGCTAACAAGACTGCGTTGTAATGCTACTGTGACAGATAACAAGACTCGGAAAACTGGATGGGTGAATGAGTGCAATCAGTCTCTGACAAGGCTCAGGTGGTGTGAATGTAATCAGTCTAGATGAGTGAGCATGTGTGAGTGTGACCGGAGAGCATGTATGAATATGTAGTCCAGGAGAAGGCGGAAGTGTAGTCCATGGTTATTGTGTGGGAACCAGCGATCTCTGGAGAACGATCACTGGTTATGATGACAAAAGATCTTAACTGTGTTTCTTACAAAAAGACAAAGCAGGTTATGTTCCACAGCTGTCTCTTTTATGCAGTCGCAATATGCGCTCCGGCAGAGACGGCTCGCGCTGAGGAGAGCTCTCAGTAAGGGACCGTCAGAAAAGTGCTGCTTTTTTATTCGTTTTTTTTTTCCCGAGAACAAAACCAACTCAACTGATGTGTCATATTATCACAATAATGCAGCGTTTTAACCGCCTAATACTTCATTTAGGTTTTAGATATGCAAATACACACAAAAACTAGTAAAACAAGACATTTAGAGTCTGTAAAACACACAAGAAGGTCTGACAACCCATTCAAATATAATTTGCTGATGTGTTTTATTCATATCAGATACACATTACACATGGTGAAAGTAACTATAAAGTTGAATCTGCTCTTCTCGAAGTTCACCAGCCACTTACTTGCATGTGTTTTGGGAGTAACTTATGAATGTACCTGCTGAATCCTGCTTGTTTTGCTTTTTATGAATGAGGCCGCGTCCGCAAGTGAACATGAAGCTGTCCATCTCATGTTACAGATCACGATCACTCACACGTTTATGTGAATTGGAATATCAGGTAGTTGATGACATGATGAGCAAGCATGTGAATATGTCAAAGTAAAACTGAAGAAACTAAATTAAAGGCATACATCTGTCATACATCACTGTTGTGGCTGCGGTGTGTCACATGACAAGCATGATGCGTCGCCACGGAAACATTAAGGGTGAATGTTCTAAAGAAACAGACTCCCGGGCCAGAGAGAATCTGTTAAACTCAGCAGGGAAAGAGTTAATAGCAGCAGTAAAGCAGCGGCGGTAGAGTTACTTTGCATTGCAAGACTAAAGACACATTTTTATTCACTCGCCTTTTATGAATCCTTTATTTTTCCATCTGTTGTCATGTAACAACAAGACCTAGGAGACAAATGAGCAGAGTGGAGGTGGATAAGATAAAGTGGTCAGTTTGTCAGATCAGAAGTGAAGCATTCAGAAATAAGTGAGTCTTAAGTAAGGATTTGAATTCAGAGATATTATTAGCAGAGTGGAGTGAGCGTGGTGGAGAGTTCCAGAGTTTGGGTGCAAGTACACTACATGATCTGCCCCCTATTGAAGAGAGGCGGTACTGAGGAACAGCGAGAGGGCCAGAGTCAGCAGAACATAATGAATGAGTTGGGGTGTAGGGGACAAGCATGTTGCAGAGATTGGAGGGTGCTAGGCTATTTAGGGATCCTAATGCAAGGAGGAGAATGAAATGAATGATTTTCTTGGCTTTTTTATCCGATTAATCGATAAATAATCGACAGATTAATCAATTATTAAAATAATCGTTAGTTGCAGCCCTACTGTTCACCAAATGTTTACACTCCTAATATTGATATTATTTGCTCATTAACCACCTCATGTGGAACTCTGAATCTGCATCTCATTTCAGAGTCTGCTGCTGTCCACTGGAGGGCGCATTGTAGTCATGTACACATGCTTTAAAACCATTTCTTAATGAAATACGCTGTTTTCCACCATCTGGCAACCCGGGTGCTGAAATATAATAGGCTGAACTGGCATTGGGCGGGTTTCAGAGACCAAAACAAAGACAGCATTTCCGGCATGTAATGCACATGTCCACAGCAGAATATCTGACTTCAGCATTGAGTTTCAGATGAACAGGACTGTCCACCGAGCATGATTCTGAATATCTGCACTCACATTAAAGAGTTTTAATATTGCAGAAGAGTCAAACACTGACATACAGCAGCTCTAAAACACGAGCAGAATAATCTGCCATCAGGGAAAGAAATGTAATGTCATTTCAAAGTGGAAATCAGAGTATTCTGCTCACCCCATGGTCAGATTATTCTGCTTGTTTTAAGGAGAAACTCTCCTCATTTTGACTCGTTTTTTTCTGAAAACAGCACTATAGTAATTACCTGTCTAGAAAATGCTTCCAGATTTCAGAGTTTGTCGATATCTGAACTAGAAACCAGACTAAACTCTGAGTACGGGGAGCAGTATTGCAGCGTAAAGGCTTCACTTCATTCACATGTTCACTGAGAGAGAGACAGAGAGAGAGAGGTATTTCACACAGGACACGTGTGTGTGTGTGTGTGTGTGTGTGTGTGTGTGTATGTGTGTGTATGTGTGTGTGTGTGTGTGTGTGTGTGTGTGTGTGTGTGTGTGTGTGTGTGTGTGTGTGCTGTACGCAGCATCTGGTTCACATTAGTCTGCAGTACTGTAAGTGTGTTTAAATACTGAACATTCTGTTCCAGAAAACTGCACACGTACACACTCAAGAGTCAGCATGTGTGTGTGTGTGTGTGTGTGTGTGTGTGTGTGTGTGTGTGTGTGTGTGTGTGTGTGTGTGTTTCTTTAGTGAACACGAGTGCTGAATTCACTAACAGATGATTTCTTTAAACTGTAAATCAGAAGGACTCATGAATCACTTTCCCACAATGCCTCAAGCTCTGTAAACTCTGCGTGTGTGTGTGTGTGTGTGTGTGTGTGTGTGTGTGTGTGTGTCAGTTGCCCCTGCTGTTTGAGTCCGTTAGACAGAAGTGCTGAGTGTGTGTGTTTGAGTGTCATTTTCACCTGTTGTTTGAGTCTGTTAGACACTGTGTGTGTGTGTGTGTGTGTGTGTGTGTGTGTGTGTGTGTGTGTGTGTAATAACAGGATCTGGAGTGTCTCACACACTGCCTGAAGCAGCGGCAGCAGTGAATGAGGATCTGTCAGTGATGTGTAGTCTGTTTTAGTAGATGATGATCTCTACATGTCTCCATATTGAGCACGTGCGCATGCGTCTCTGTCAGATTCCAGTGTTCTGTGGTTCAGTAGAGCTTGAGGAGACCAGAGTCAGCGAGACTCGATCCTCCTCTGTGCTCCAGACACAGATCAATGCAGATAAATCCATTAATATGTGAAAAACGTCCCTGTAGATCTGCATTATAGACACATTATACTCATCTGCACAACATGTCTCTCGGCTGGCCTGAAAACACCTCAGGATCTCCCCAGAGGAGCTGGAGGAAGTGTCTGCGGCTCTCTCCTGAGACTGCTATATTATTCCAGCATATGTTTTACACAGTGGATGCCCTTCCAGCTGCAACCCAGTACTGGGAAACACCCATACACACTCAATCACACACACTCATACACTACGGCCAGTGTAGTTGATCAGTTCGCCTATAGCGCATGTGTTTGGTCTGTGGGGGAAACCGGAGCACCTGGAGGAAACCCACACCAACACGAGAAGAACATGCAAACTCCACACAGAAACACCAACTGACCCAGCCGAGACTCAAACCAGAGACCTTCTTCTGAGGCGATTGTGCTACCCACTGCGCCACTGTGCTTGCCCAATTATCTGGGAATAACACACCTTATAATGTCACGACTGACCAATCAGAAGCAAGTATTCTAGACACAGGAGGATGATAGAGGAAAGCTTAAGTCCTGCTATATCCAGTCTGTTTGACTGATGGTGTGTGTGTGTGTGTGTGTGTGTGTGTGTGTGTGTGTGTGTGTGTGTGTGTGTGTGTGTGTGTGTGTTCTCAGATCTCTCTGGAGACGGAGCGTCTGGGCCCGCGGCGCGTGGAGTCTCTGCGCAGAGAAGATGAAGACTGGCAGAGGAAAGCACACACTGCTGTACTGTCCATACAGGACCTGACCGTCAAATACTTCGAGACCACTGCACGCGCTCAGAAGGGTGAGACACACACACACACACACACACACACCACAACACACACTATACAACACACACTTACACTTAGAACTACCGGACTGATAAGTGTTAGCAGTCGCAGTAATCACAGCCATGTCTGTGTGTGTGTGTGTGTCAGTGATGTACGAGCGCA